TTGATTTGAAATGAGTTTTAGCTGACTTGTAATCGAATCCGTTCGAAGCGACATGAATAAGTGCGCGCGTGAGATTTGAATGAATCATGGTCTAGGTGGATTTTCGTCAACAAAGAAGATGTTGTGGTGTGCGTGTGTACAATCATTGCTCAATAGGCATGCACCGCTTTCGATTAAAAATCGAATAATCGAACTTCGATTATTTTCGATCCCGAACACTGGAAGTTCGATTATTCGATTTTTAATCGAAATTGGTGCAACGAAAAATGTTTTTTATATGAAAAACAAGAACTCATAACATCCCCATATTGAATCACAATCGAAGTTCGATTATTCGAAATTGGCGTATGCCTTTTGTTCAGCAATGTATTTTGGGTTTCTGCATGAGTTTTGCTGTTATACGAGGAGTTTGATTCTGCCAGAAGAAGTCAATTTATTTTAGAGATTATCTTATTGAAAATTTTCTATATAGGTATTAGATTTTATGCATTTATGGTTGTTTGATGAATTTTATTGTCTTTTTCTGTCGTTTGTTTTTGTTCTTGTATATTATACGTATCTGAAGGTCTTGAGAAGTTCGGAAATATCTTCAAATATTTAGCGCAGTTTATTTTAGACATCAAGATGTTGAAGAGTAAAATCTACCATATTGTGTCAAGTTGTACTTTAACAGTAGTTTTATAAACGATGAAAAGTATCTCAAACGATAGATATAACTAAAATGCACACGCACAAAGAGCAACTTTTTGAGATAATGTACGATTTTACTTTAGTGAAACACTTTGATATGTACATGTTGCTCTTGTTCGTATCGTTTATCTCGAATCTGAACAATCCATATGACAATTAGTGTGGGTGTAGTGTACTGCTAAAAGCAACAATAATTTCGACTGCTTTCAACCATTTTGAATTAGATGATGCGATAGACTGTTGTTTCTTGTAAAGAACTGGTATTTCAACAATAATTGGTAAACAAATAATCAGACAAACAATCCTAGTCTCAGTATTGTCATACTGATGAGGGACACAACTAGTGTACGTAAGAATTTTTTTTTTGGTGACTTAACGGAGTAATAATAACAGTAGTATTGATGATTTAAAATTGTATGAACGAGACTGAAATAAGTGAGTTCTGAACTAAACAGGTATCAACGAAGAAATTTGAATGTTAAAAACTGTTAGTCTGCCGTTATCATTTCTGCGAATATGTCTGTTATGGTTATTGATCTGTTGCTCATATTTTGGATTTCAGAATCAAGAAATGAACATAAAGAAAATCCTTTGTCAGTGAGACTGAAACCTTTTATATGAGATACTGCAGCATGGTAAATGTTTCTAGTCTAGAAAAATAAAAATCACAGTTCGTAACATCAACTTTATCGAAAAATTTTCGTTTTTTTCAAAGATTAATAATGAATGCGTGCTCTTTCTCCAACTGATTTAACATTATTGTGGGAAATTTATACATCGCACTGTTACTGCAACCTTCTACGAAATATTATTTCTGTCAAGATTAATCAGCAATGTTAAAGATGACCAAAAACTACGAAAGAATCGAGAATAGACTTATCTTTTATTTATATTGATATACAATAACTTTTTAGTATAAGCAAGCGGTATTAGATGGAACTCACTTAAAAAGTAAAACTCACTATATAGCTGTTGAAAGAACACCGCTACTAACCCTTTCCAGCCTGATGTTGCCATTTGGCAACACTTTTTGCTGTGTTTTCGAAACAGCCGGTTGGAAAGGGCTAAATCCAAAGATTGACGTTATAATATAGTTAGAATATATTCCTATTACAAATTAATAACAAATAAAAAATAACAAAGAATAAAATAAAAAAGTGAGCATAACTATATGTATTAATCATGGTTTGTATGGTTGTAATAAATATTTTGAAAATGAATTGATATTTTCTGCTCCACGAACTTCATCGTCTAATAACGGCAGTTTTAGAACATTAAAATCTTCATATAAATCATCGATCTAAATAGATAAAAAACTTGTAACTTCGTCTAATTATTAAAACAAGTAGCAACACAACAACTAAATCAGCGCAGTAAGTATTCTGATTTAAGTATAGTAGATGCTCCATTTTATGGAAATAGCAGAGCATTGTAGATTTTCTACATTGTTTAAAAATATTCGATGAAAAATATCATACTTGTTCAATATATTTTTGTTGTATTTTGGATCTTGCATTACATTTTTTACACGATGGTGTTTGTTGTTTATCATTAAATAGTACTTGATTGACAATAATATTATGCGTATCAATGTTTGTTTTGGCTAATTCTTGAACCAAACGTTCAGTTTCATATAGAGATAAAAATTCAGGTATACAAACACAAATAAACGTTGTTAAACTCTAAATAATCGAAAAGAAAAAGAATTGACAACTTACTATAAAAAAAGAGATAATAGCTTACCGGATTCTGAAATTGTTCCATAACTTGTCTAATTACAGCAAGAGTTTCTTCCAATTTATTTGACATTAAATCTGAGACCATATTATCCATCCCAAACATACCACTAATCTAGAAAAAGAAAAAAAAAGAATAAAATAATAGTGGAACTGCAGTCTTTTACTCACTTGTGTTAAAATGGGGCCAACATGGTTTTTTAATCTTAAAATTTTCTCTAATCCCTTCTCAATAGCTGATGGAAATGATAGTAGACGAAGTGTATGACCAGTGGGAGCTGTATCAAACACAACAACACTAAAATTCATATTTTTAACCAATCTAAACAGAAAAGTGAAATGAAACGAAAAACAATTAGAAAAATATTGCACAGAAACAAACGTACTTCATTACTTCGCTAAAACTAACTGCTTCGTCAATACCCGGAAATGATGATAACATATCTTGAAAGACCGACCGTCCCACAGTCCACAATTCTAAACAAAGCAAAAATATGTCAGTCTATTGTGGTGTATTTCATGCATGTCGTTCATTAAAAAAAAAGATGAATACGTCAAATATTTTCAGCCGACTGAATATAATTATCTGTCGTTTATTTCATAACATCAAACTCGTTTGTACTATGACATTCAACATTGTGAACATTCCTTGTCAAATAAAGATTTATGTAAACTTAATGCAGACGGTAGCCGAGATATCATTATACAACATCGTGTGGAAAATGGAATTCTTTCTCATTTATCAGGGTGTATACTTCTCTACATACCACTATCGTCTGTGTCATCTGGTAGCTCACTAATTCCTCCGGATGGGTCGATTTCCTAAAGTAAGTAAGGTGATTATTGAGATAATACAGTGCTATCTATAGAACATACCATTGCAAACAGATTATCATAACCGTTGACTTTTGTTGGTTTTTTTGTAAATTTTTGGTTGAACGCATCTGATATGTTGTGAGCTGGATCTGTACTCAAAATTAAGACTGTATCACGAACACGAGACAACTGAGCGGCTAAACTACAACTAAAATGAGAGAAAAATAGAATGGAAGAAAATAAACAATATAATCAAAAGATTGAAAGTATACCTGCATGTCGTTTTTCCTACGCCACCTTTTCCTCCAACAAAAATCCATTTCAGACTTTTTTGTTCGATAATATTTTTTAAATTTGGTTCGGGAGTAGTTTGATTTAACATCCTCTAGAACAACAAAATAGATGTTGATAACTTAACTAGTACTGTTGAAGAACCGAGAAAGACAGTAGACTATGATAGTTACTAATTATCAGAAAAATCCATGTTTCGTATTGCATAAGTTAGAGTGACGTACACTAGAAATGAAAGTCAGATCAATCACCTCCTTTGTTGAATGTCCTTTCCATCTAATTTTTACTCTAATACTCTACGATTGTGTTCCCTTTACACCACTATGCTATACTACATAGCTTATATTAATAATATAAAACAATCGTGTAGCGTTCCGTACGTGTGGTGTATTTAGTGCAAAATGCGAATTAAATGGCAGATACTGTTTTGTGAATGGACCAATCATCAGAAGACTTTTATTAGAGTAAGAGAATGAATAAATATTGAAAGAAATGAGACAAAATGACTGATGCACTGAGACATAACAGATATAAAGCGAGCGAAGCCAAACTTTTCTTGATGAAGTAGACAGATGTCACTCAAAGACATAAATTTCAGTTCGTATACCGATTCTCGGTTAATTAATCTATTAGATAATAAGTCATAGTTATTTTCAAAATTTTAGACATAAATGAACAGGATATACCTTACAAAAGATTTTAAAACAACATCATGGTGACCTTCTAGACTTGTGGAGATCCCACTTCCCAGCAGAACAAACCTTTTCCGGGAATTTCATCATTTTTTAGCGAAACGCTTTCATGAACTGGTATCGTCAGATTACCGTCTGTATGCGCAGCGCTGCAAAATCCCTAACGAAGAAAAGGTTCCAAAATCTTAAGCACGCTCTCAGGAGAATTTTTAAAAATAACATTTTTTCCGAAAATTAGGTCTTTTTTATAAACCATATTTCCCTCATAAAATCATGTCAACACACGACAACAAGATACGCATTTGACGCATCTTTTCAAGCTCTATCCGATGAAGTGGTTCTCATTGAGATTTTAAACCATCTAACGATAGAAAAAAACAACTTTTAAAGGCGATTTTCCTCGTTTGACAAAGTTTGAGTACGTGCTGCACCATTCCACGGGATTGTATGGCGTGGGATGGCATATGTTTCGCATGTATTCGACGTGGGCTATTAGAAAAAGAGGTTTTTGCCTTTGTCCCAGGACTTTTGAAATAGACGAAAATTCTGCGGTATTTTTGTTGGAAAAATACTTTTCTCTGAACGTTCGTGGACAAAGGCAAAAAGATCATCATAGCGTTGTTTTAAAATCTTCTAAACGTGATATTCATCATCAGGATTGAGTTGTACTGGTCCTATTACACCCGAACTGTTGGGATAAAGTCTATGTAAACTCTAGTGCACTTTCAAAAGAATCACCTATTAATAAGAACACGTGTGTTTAATCTTTTTTGTTATAACTTTTATGTGAAAAATGCATATACTAAAAATCTCCGCTAAAAAAAAGCATGAACAAAACACAAGATCGTGAGAAAAAATGTTGAACAAAAACCGGTGTGCACTCTCCCACACGCTGCAGTATTTGCGGCCCTGGATTACTTGATGAGTACTTGGGAAGTATGTGACGAGTTAAGCACTTGGTAACTTATATATTTCTACTGAGTTTTTCAAGTAAATATACTTGCATTGAGTCAGCCAAGGACTTACATCCTACTTGTCAAGTACTTTCTCAAGTATCTGACAAGTAAAACTTGGAAAAGTCCACAAGTACAGTCCTTATTACTTAACCGAAGTACTTGCGCAAGTACTTGACTCAAGTACATTCATCATGGAAGGTTGCGAACGAAACATTTTGCTATAATAACCGTTGACATCGTGTGGAGTATAATAGAAAAATTTCATCGAAAAATGTCAAGACAGGTCGATGTGATTCTTCAGGAGTCAGATAACGATGTTACTTGGTTACTTGATTAGGGCTTAGATCTATTTTCTTGACTGAATTATTCATTTATATGCAGGGAAAAAAGAAATTTATTGGACAAACAGGATCCTTTTCTTTGCTTCTGTACATAATTGATTTCGTTTGTATTTCTTGTTTGTATTGAGCAGAATTTTCGTGATTGTATTTGTGTATTGTTGTTTTACCGCTTATTTAAACTCTAAAATGTATAGCCTTTTATAGGAAAAAAAGTGAGAGAAGAGCAGAAACAGAAATGAAAGAAAAAAATTCTTTGACAAAGTCTGTAACCGTAATAAACCACGTTGTGTATACAATTAAACAAAATGTGCGAGTTTAAAACTATTCTACAACAACGATTGAATTTGATGTATTTTCTCTGAAATAGTTTGGTTCATCTACAACGACTCAATAAATGTTCACCACTATAGCCACTAACGATAATTCATTACGCATAAGAACAGTATGGGTAAGTCTGCAGGTTCCTACCGTGAAGCCGCTGAGCATTGGAGACCTAAATCATCTGCCAGAAATGTCGATTTTCTTCAGATATGTCAGTATTAAGACTAACATATGGTTGAATAGCCTAAAGCATTCTCTTTTGAATGAACTGCTTTTGGTAGCTTCAAAGTGGATTTTTGGACGGTTTACTATCAACTTTTTCAGAAGCCCTGAAAAATTCGGGTTTTTCATAAGTCGTTATACTGTTGAATCTGAGATCCAGTAAACAATCGTGAGGCTCAGACATTGCAAAGCAAACATTCTTGATCAAAATGAGCCTTCTCGCATCTCTACAGGGTGTTTGAATCAAAAAGTTTTAGCTGTTTTACGAAACGTCCTAAAAATCGTCACCACACACTAGCACCATCATCAGACAGGGTTTTGCTTTTCCTCAATTTCTGCCAAAGAAGATTTTTGCAAAATTACAAAAGTTCGACTCTGCCAATGTGTAGATAAAAGTATTTGCCTTATTTTAAAAACTATCCCAAACTCTTTAGCGTCTACCTGGAAAGAAAATTTCGGGAAGTGACCACCCTACTTTTTTTTATATCGTGAACGGAAAGAGATGAAGCGAAAAAGAACTTTCATCATCATACTTTGACATGGACAACATTCTGAACATACACATTTTATGTAAGAATTATTCCAAACACACAGGGCAAGACAATAAGCGCCCACTGGAAAACGTCCACGAAAAAGCATACTAAAAAAGCGTCGACAAAAATTCGTCAAAGCATAGTATCTAAGTGCATACTGCATAGATGACTCGTTTCACTGGATTAGCGTATCTCAGAAACGACTGATTTGCTCCGATAGTGATTCAGTCCAGCAGATCAGGCGTGCTTCCAACGTATAGTGCGTTCAAACCTGAGTATTTATTATTTAGAAACCTTTTCAAATTTTGTTTTTCCATGTAAAAAAAGCATACAAAAAAATTCGTCCAGAAAAGAAAAACGTCTAGCAAAAAAGTATACCAAGCTGTGACGAAAAAAACCGTCCACTAAAACACGTCAACTTTTGGACGCTTATTTTTTTGTCGTGCAGATATGATCCGTCCAGAAAAATCCCCATGGTAAAATTATACAATTTTGAAAAGTTTTCTTAACTTTTTGGTGGTACTCCTCGCTAAAAATAGAAAATTTTCCAGGTTATCAAGTGTGCTGAATACGAAAAAGCACTTTTCTTTAACTCTAAACAAACTTTAATTTTTTGTCGGTGATATGGTGCAGAAATGGATGGAAAATTACACTTTATTTGTCTATTATTCGACTTTTGTGAGAAAAAAAAGTTTAACGAAACTGACTTCTAGACAGGTATTAGCATTATTCAGATGAAAATTGTCTCACGCGCTCTACTATGTGACAAGGAATGCTTGTTATCACTGTGATATTTATTCGGTTTTTCTATTAGTGTCTGAATAATGAGTGCAGTTCAAACAAATTAGTATAATGACGTCTTCGAAGTTTAAGAAAATTATCATATTCGTGTTTATTATTATATTCATTATTGGTCTGTCGACTGTAGCTATCTTCAGAGTCAATTGGCTTTACCAGGCAAAGCTTACTAATATAAATTATCCCATAATAACAAATCAGTTACATGTATTTATTTCAAAAGAGAATGATTCACTCACACCAGCACAATACCTGTTTACACCCGAAGCCAGTAACAATAAACCAATATTTAAAAAAACACCATGGGTAAGTCTACAAGGTTGATAAACTACAAAGGCTTTAAAAACTACTTGAGGCTAGTTTCATGCAAGGATTGAAAAAATCGTCACTCACTCAAAATTGGTTCAAAACTTCAAAATACACTCTAGATTAGATCATACCACGTCCAAGAAAACATACACAGGGTAGCAATCTCCTTTGGTGTGATGGTGTAGTATAGTGAAGGAAGGAGATCGCAGCGGGTGAGACTGAGGCACGAGACAATATTTCGTCGATCGTCATATCAAGCCACACAAAATCGCCATGATACCATATCACTACCATATATCCATCAACACATATATATACAAGTATATGCGTATACCTAGCAGCCATTTATTCATTTTTTTTAAAGGACCTTTGGGGTTTTTGAAGTGTTTTGAACTTCTTCCTACCAAGTTTGATACGATACATCGGAAACCCATTAAATTAAATTTTATTAACAAATACAGCAGAATATGATTCCACTGTAATATTTCGATGAAACAGTGATTATCAGAGCTGGAACCGATACAGAATAGAACCGGTTTAAAAAGTCAATCGGGCCGGGAGAGACCGATATTTCACCGGTTGAAAGTTTTGAAACATCTGCTCTTTTTACCCTGTTTTTCGTCAAAAAAACTAAAATTTCACGTCTTTTTCAGTCCAAATAAATAAGACGATGCTCAAGACATATTATTTTCATCACTTGTTTTAAGGTTAAATGTTATAGACTCGTTATTGTGAAGATTCTCTCACATGTGCTCGCAAACTACTTCATTTGTGGGGGAAATTCTTTTTGAAAATCGATTTTCGAAAAACTTCGCCAGGTTTTCGCCGGTATTTTACCGGTTTTTCGTCGGTTTGAGTTATAATTCCAACCGGCCCGTTTACCGGCCGGACCGGTTCGGTTATACTTTCAGACCGGCTG